TTCTGTATTTTTTCGTGTATATAAAAACAAAGCTGGAACCGTCCTTTTATAGGTAAAGATACGTAACAGCTTAAGCATGAAAACGGGAGAAATATTAGCAACGTTTACTGCAATTAGTGTATCCGTTAAGCAAGAATCAAGGCATTAAATCAGTGTAACGGTGCAACGTTTAGCAGTAAAACAACAACGAGAATCAAGCAATGTAACGGAAAAATTTAAACCAAAACAGTAAAACGTTTTGTAACTGAATATTAATCAAACCGGTAACAAAAATTAAGTTTGTTTAATAACCCAAACCCAAACCCGACCCAGCCCGGCTCGGTTCGGCGCGCGTGTGTGTGATATATGGTTTACCATATAGGTCCTCCCTCTCCACAAAATGTGGGTAGCCCAAGGGCCACACCCCTTTTTCACAACTAGTACCTATAAATTTTGGGTCCCTCATTATTTAATTACCTTTAATAATTTTCCACGTTTGTCTCACCTTCTTTATCCAAACTTTCCTCCCTTCGAAATAATTTCTTAATTAATGTCTAAATAATTTTGGATCAATGTGATTTCATGCCCAAATATTTAATGTTGTTGCAGTAGGATTACTTTATTAGGGTAGATTGTACATGGATTAGTACCTTTCATATGATTGATAAGTAAACTATTGAGGCCTCAAAATGATGGTATATCCAAGACCCACGTTTGAAAATCATCACCTACTACATACGTACCACCAATATCAAACAAAATTATAATAGCTGGAGGAATCGTGTGGGTACCAGATGCATTTATCTTTAAAATATCATATATTTTTTTCATTGAAAATAAATTGTACTCGTTGATAACTACCCTAATTCAACACGTTAAAGTAAATCCTTTGCTATTACGGGGAAATAGTCCTCTTTATTTTATCATGAGGAGCTATACAAAAATAAAGAAACATCATACAATCTACCGGTTGATTGCAATCTCATAGAAGTCTTGTCATGTGCTTGATGAACTAATTCTGTAATTGTCAACCTTGTGAATTATTGTACTTACACGATCTTCGTTCGTTGTTTCAATTTTTCAAACGGTCCAAGTTAATTTGAATACAAGTGCACCTTACTATTAAATAAAGATAGCAATTATATAACATGCATTATTAACATTAATTCGACAAATTAAAATGGAAAAAAATTTCTTCTTAGGGAGAAGAGGGGATTTCAATTAATTCAACGTAATTTGAAATGTTGTGAATCTTGTGATGGAATCACATAACTCTATTTGGCTTGTTCAATTAAATCATCTAATCGACAAATATAAAGATTGAAAATCCTTTATATTGGAATGTCTACTTTATACTAAATTATTATCTTTACGTTATCATAAGATTTACATTAAAAAAAAAAAAAAAAAGAATAATGCACCTTATCGTAATCATCTGGCCAATAATGTTACAAATGTACAGTATGTCATACGAAATAAATCATATGAATTATTAAATTTAGCAAAGTTTAAAAATGCCAGGCTAAAAACAAAAGAATCTTTGAACTTACTGGCCAATCAGAAAAGGTAATTATATTTCTGTAGTAATCTGTTTCTTCGTTTAAATAATGGTCTTGGAAGAGATGACCATAATATGGGAGCCACGTGTCATGTTATTGAGAACAATCATGTAGGATTATTGCATATTATTGAATATGATCGTTAGGATTAATGATTGTGATTATGTGACATTTTATATATTTATAGTACTGAGTATTCATGAAACATTGACAAAGACTATTAGGCTTGTGTAAAGATTAATTGATAAAAATAGAATGATTATATGTCTGATATGTTGATATATCACAAGTTCGGATCTCCATATTCTATCTATAACGTTCATAATTTAATTGAATGTTTAATTTTTTTTTTTTTATAAAAGATAACAACTTTGGAGAAGTACTTTAATATGTAGTAATTTTTTTTTTTTAATTTTATTTTACCTTTCAAATTGACACGTAATTATTTATTTGTTAGTTTGTTCATTTTGAAAACTTTTTTGTGAGACAAAATAATAAAATTAAAGTCACCAAAGAACAACAAAAATGAAGTAATAGAGTTGCTTTTGTAAGCATTATATTAAAATGAAGCTTTCAACTCAAAAGTTTTCAAATTCCATGTAACCCTTTGTACTTTGCTTTCTTTTATGAATGAAAACATATATACTCCATTTAGTCAATTAGTAGAGCAAGCAACTCATCATCTTCAATTTATAACGTCTAAATATCAATCTATTAGCAACAATAATGCTGTTAGATGTGAATGGTGAATCACTTAATTTTTTGTCAACCAAATTTGTTAGTAAATTATTAACTCCAACAAAATTTGTCTCTAAATTGTGTGGTTGGCTTGTAGGGTTGGTCTTTTCTAATTTCTAACTCTAAGAGTTTGAATATTGCAAGTTTAATTTACACCAAAAATTTAAATAGAAAATACTACGTACTAGAATTTAGTAATTTTACCAATTTAAGCCTTAATTTAAGGTTGAAAATTTTCCCAAATTTAAGGCCATAATATATAATAATCCTATACATGCCTTAATTTACAAGAAAATTAGAAAAACCTTGAGAATGTTTAATAGAACTGTCTATAGAAGAGTGAAATATAAACATATCAGTTTTATACTTTAATCATGAGAAGTTGATGCATAACTTCTAAATTTAAGCATTAAATTCAAGCCCACCAGTTTAGTATTTGCTGGATTCCTAATGAGTTGCAACATGTGTCCCATTTCCCCTTTTTTTTTTTTTTTTTTCCTTCCATGTCATATGCACCAAGTGCACGAGTTAAGCAATTAATACACTCCTCAACGGCTTAACAAATACGAGTACATACTCTATAGTAAATATTATTGATTTTCAAATTCCTAAATTTTTAATTTGGTGAGAATTTGTAGGACGAATGATATGTGTCATTTTTATGGTTCAGTATTATCTAGTTGAAACATTAGAGTCTTTAAGTTATGGATAGTTATTTGCACTCAAGGGCAAGGTACATGGAAGGCATTTTGCTAATTCTGATAACAATTACTCATTTAATCATTAATTGAGCCAAAAAAAAAATAATGGGTGCACAACTTAGTATATTTTGTAGGTATTAAAAGTAAAATTGAAATGATACTACAAATCATTTTCCAAATAATTTTACACTACTCATAATATCTAATAATAAATAAGAAAATATTCATATCATCTATGATTCTATGGTGTGTATAATAAAGCACCAAAAAAAAAAAAGAAAAAAAAAAGAATCAATAAATAATTCAATTACAGAGTAGCCTTACAATGTCCTGAGCTGATAAATTAATTATATATCACCAATAATTATGCATTTATTCACATAAATAAACAAACTGATTAAAATTAATAGTAATAGAGAATAAAGATTAAAGAAAAGTAAAATGAAAACCCTAAATTTCTATTTAAAAAAAAAGTCAAAACCCTAATAGCTGCTAAGACATCTCAAGTTTCAACTATTTTACAAGTATATTTACAATACAGGATAGCCTCTTTCACTTTTTGCTCTCTCATTTCCTCACAAAGACTCAAATCATGACTATTATCATCATTATGTCCAATTTTATTACATGTTCTTTGTTTGTTGTGCTTAAAACAAGCCATGCAACTAGTCTTCATGGCATGCCATAACGACTTCCTACGAACATCCGTTGTTGTCATTGTCGTCTGTCGTTGTTGTTGTCGTAACCTTCGACGATAGTGGAGATGATGTTGGTAGCGATGACAACGATGATGGTGATGACGAATGTGGTAGTGGGTATGACCAAGGGAACTCAGACACATACCTAGACTTAGGGGTAGTTGGAGGAGTATAAGTGAAGGAATTTTGTGAATGATTATTAGTAGGCAACGATGTCGTAGTCGTACCCTTCTTCGGAATAAATAGTGTTGGCAATGGTGGTGACGATGATGGTGATGGTGGCGGTCCTAGTGGATTCGGAGACGAAATGTCTGTTGTAGCACTAGGATTTGAAGTAGAGGTATTAGATTTGATTTTGGATTTGGGTTTAGATTTGGAGGCTATACTTTGATGAATGTTTGTTTTAGAGGAAAATGAAGTTATTAATTGTAACACCATCCATAAATCACATCCTGATTGCTGCATTTTTTTTTTGCTTAGTTTGCTAAATGCTTAAACTCTATTTTACTCAATAATAAATCGAAGTACTCCGTAATAATAATGCTTGCTTTTATAATAAGTAAAAGAATTTAAGAAATGAGTATATTTAGGGTTTATGAGTGGGAAAATGCTGAAATTCAAAATTGGTAACAAAAGAAGGATATATGAAATATGAAGTAGGGAAATTTTTTGATTCTCTATAAAAGAATTGAAACAAATATAGCGAAAATATGAATAAATCTTAGCAAAAGTTTGGTAAAGTAAAAAAATTCCCTTCATTTTCTTTGTGAAATATTTTTGGAAAAAAGTGTCCCAATATATCAAACATCATAACCTAAATCTTTAATTTCTCATTGATTTCCGCCTAAAATCAATTTTAAACAAATATAGCCAATTAGCCACCTATATATCAGTGATTATGGAGGTAAAGGTAAAATTTCCATTGGAGAACAACAGCTAAGTTAGGAAAATATAAAAGAAATATTTCAAACACTATATTTCAATCTTTTAATGAGTCAATAGATTGTTCATTGTTTGAACCGAACCTACCACTTCCCACAGGCCACAGGTACAGTAAGAGATTTACTCAAAATGTCACAAACCATAATATTTTAGAGATTTAAGGCTCGAATCTTGCCAAGTGCTTGGCCTGTGTGCGCAAATGATAGGGCCAAGAGCGTAATAACTCAAACCGTGGTAATTGATAAACACGACATGTGTTGCGTATAATTTTGAAAAAAAGAAATCTGCTTTAGTGGACGTTTGGATGGATGGTGAATGAATAATGTTGGTATGCAGACGACAAATTTGCAAAAATATGGTGTATAAATGACTAGATAAACAAATTGCAATAAGATAACAGAAAGGGCTTTTGCATTAAATTCTTGAAATGTTTTACATAATGTTATTCAAGAAAAGTTCATTATGCCTTTTGTGAAGTTGGCATAGCTAGAGAGAGACCACTTGGTAAATCTTTCCATTGCTGAGTCACTGTCTTCAGCTGGGTATAAAACTGAACTCCAGCTTTTCCTGAATTTCACAAGGATTTCATGTATTAACACTAAGCAAACAGTTGGATGGAATTCAGTCTTTTTTGGAATTGAATCGGTCAAGAGTACAAATTCATAAAAAGATGCAATAACAAGAGCATTGATGCGGCAACTTACCATAGAAATTGAGGTCGCCTGCAAATGATGCCTTGCTGCCGGTAAATGAGAAGAATGGAAGAGGAACAGGAATTGGAACGTTAATGCCAACCTGATTTACAAAATTCACAGGAAGTTCACTACGATCAATATGAAGGTCAAGCAGCAAAAATTCAAGAAATGTAAAACAAAATTTGGTTCCTATTGTTGTTAGCGGGAAAACAGAAAAATCAAAGTGAAGATGAGACTGAGTCGTGAAAGATATAGAATCACGACCAAAGTGAATACAGTCCGCCAGTCCAGTTTATAGTAGGCTCTCACCAAAACCTAGAGTACTAAAATATAATCAGAGTTCTGCTAGAGATTAGTTTGATTACCTGCCCAGCCTCAATTTCAGTTTGGAATTTCCTTGCAGCGGCTCCTGATGAGGTAAAAATGGATGCTCCATTTCCATACCTGTGGTAGAAAATTGATCATTGTCAAGTGACTAGATAAAATAAGATTATAGGTGACAACAGGAATTAAGGGATATATGAAGTAATTACTGGTTTTTGTTAACAATGCTTATGGCTTCTTCCAAACTGTCAGCCTGATTAAAAAAAAATCGTGATAGGATCATAAGAATGAGTCTAAAACGGAGAAGCTTCAACATAAATCAGAAATGATATAGAAAAAACTACTATACCTGCATGCAAAGAAGTACTGGTCCAAAAATCTCTTCCTGTTCATACAAAACAGAAAGGTTATGCGAACACAAACTCAACAATGCTGCTTTAGACAAGAAGAAAAAATTCCTTCCTAAAGTAGAAGAAATAACGAGTGCTGATAAAGAGTACCTTATAACACTCCATTTCAGCTGTGACATCAGAGAGGATAGTAGGACCTACAAAATTTCCATTCTCATATCCAGGAACCTGTCCCGAAAAAAACCAGGCAGAAGAAATAAAACTAATTAGCATTAGGAATAACATACTTCAAATAGCTCAAAAAACAAGATAAGTAACCAACAGAAGTTTTGCACCTTATCAAAGATGCAACAATCTCTACAATGTTGGATTGACGTGGACTAACAAAGATATTGGCAGCAATATGCATGGAATACTACTATATACATGATGTTCTTTGATGACCTTAAGGTACCTATTAGCCTATAACCACCTTATTTGTGATCATTTTCATTAAAGCATCAATTGTTTCCATTATAACAAATAAGCCAAGCCTAGACTAATCACGAATTTAAACCAACAAACTGTGAAGCACAAAAGTGGGATACAAATTTATAGAAGCCAATTAAACTAAAGAAACCCAACACATACCACAATATTTCTTCCATCTAGTACTAGTCTTCCTCCAGATTGAACCCCGCTTTGGATTAAGTTGCATATTCGTTCCTTTGCCTGTCAATATGAAATCAACTAACGTAAGAAGAATATTTTAAAATGCAAATAAAATACAGATGTATGCATAGTGAAAAGGAGAATGATAATGGTCATAATCCCTGAATATTTCGACAATAAACAGAAAAAAAAAAAAAAAAAAAAACTGAAACTGATTTGGACCCTGCTCCGTGATAATGGAATGCAAGCATTAATATTCTGACGATCTTTGTTTTGAAGTCATTGGATCTTTGGCATCTTTCCATAATTCTTTATGTCCGATCTAACTAAACTAATCTGAAGGAATTTTCTAAGGCTTAGTTTAAGCCCTAAAAGAGGCCAAGCAGGACAAATTCTAAACATTAGAAAATTGAATAACTTTGTCTGATGATCAAATGAGATGTTTTACTAAACCAAGTATTTTAAGCTTCTGCACAGCATGGGCAACGTAATAGCATACAACAGAAATTCTTCAAAACAAGGGTTTCTTATGTTTATTAAATTCCAGACAATCTACATTCAGGGCTAACTCTATAACAGGTGCAACAGGCTGCAACTACAGAATAGGATCAATACCTGCTTGCTTATGACTGGACCAAGGTCAGCATCAGGTGCTGTTCCCACATTCACTTTTAGTGCTTTGGCAGCCTTGACCAACTTGTTTTCCCTAAAAAAATTAAGATATGATTGATTAAATAAAAAATTTCATAATAAGAAAGCATATTCCAAACTGCATGACAGATTTCTTTTAAAGATTTCACTGAATCACTAACCAGCATATTATTTCTGGCAAACAATGAAGCAAGTTTTGGAAAGATTAATAACTCATTAACTTGTGACTTGTGAGTGAAAGTAACGCTGCTAGGAGGTGTTTGCAAGAGATCAGCCCAGTCCGAAGGTGCGTTTCACTTATGCAAGGAGGAAGCCCAAACAAGGTTTGGATAAGAGAGAGTGAGCTGGAATGTTGAGCTGGGAGTTAGTTACAGGAAGGGGTAAATCAGTAATTAAGGGAATAAGTTTGTTAGTCCTTGTTTTGTGTGATGAATTTGTTATTTCTGCTTGGTAGTTATTTTTGGGTATTTAAGGAAGGTTTGTGTAGAGGGAATGTATCTAGAACATTTTTGTGGAATTCATTCCTTGGGAGAGCATCCTTTCCTCTCAAAAGAAAGGAGTTGTGTTGAGGTTTCACTGACTTGCAATACAATCTATCTTCGGCCTGCTATTTTCCCTCTGTTTCTCTTAGCTTGCTCTGTTTTCTGACCCAGTCTCTAGCAAATTGGTATCAGAGCGGTGACGATCAGAGACGGAGAAGACAATGGCACGCCTCACCAATGCGCAACGCATGGATCTGATGGAGCAGGAGCTCGCTGGGATTCCGGCAAGAGTAGCTCAGGAGATAGCTACTGCTCTAGCGGCTGTCAAAACTGACATCAATGCTATTCGCACGGAGGTTCATTCTTCCGTGGTGATTGCCAGGCCATCGTGAAACCAACGGCGGCCAATGGGACAACCCGTTCTCCGCGCAAAATCAACTTGATTATGGAGACGGTGGTTTTCAGGGTGGTCAATCAAATTGGAAGTTGAGGAAGCTCGATTTACCAATTTTTGATGGCACGAATCCGAATGGGTGGATCCTACGCGCCGAGCGTTTCTTCCATTTCTACTGCTTGTCGGAGGAGGACCAGCTCGAGGCGGCTGTGGTGGCGCTTGATGGTGACGTAGTGGGAGCACCGACGCCACCATTTGCTTACTTGGGATGCCTTGAAGCAGCTGTTGCTTCGCCGTTTCAGGACCACAGCCACCAGCACACTCCATGAGCTGGCGCACCAACAGACGGGCTCAGTGGCGGATTACCGGCGTAAGTTCATCGAACTTTTGGCCCCGATTGAAGGAGTTCCTGAAGCAATTGCTAAAGGGCAATTTATAAACGGGTTAAGTGATGATATTCGAGTCGAAGGTCGTTTGCTGGATTCGATCACTTTGGATAGGGCCATGGAGCTGGCCTTACGGGTTGAAGAGAAGTTAAAACTCAGCCCACGACCCAAATCCACTACTAGCCCACTTAGCTACCGTACCCCCTATCCAACCCAAACCAAAACAACCCACCCTACCAACCAAATCCAAAATACCCTAAACCAAAACACAAACCTGAACTACAAAAACATCCCAACCCACAAAAATTCTGGTGAGATAAGGCGGTTGTCCGAGAAAGAGTTGCAGCAAAAAAGGGAGCAGGGTCTTTGCTTCCGGTGCGACGAGAAGTGGAACCTCAACCACCGTTGTCGCCGCCAAGAGTTGAGTGTCCTGTTAACAGTGGACGACGACGACGAGGATTGGGAAGGCTCCGGCGAGTTATCAGCGGTCGAAACCCAAATTCCTGCCCCTAGCCCTCCAGACCTCGACCCCATTTGCAATTCTGCGGTGGCACTGTGCTCTGTCATGGGGATTACCAGCCCTAAAACAATGAGGGTGGTAGGATCGATCAAGGAGACAGACGTGGTGGTCATGGTAGACCCAGGAGCAACCCATAACTTCATCTCCTCTTTTACCGCACAACATCTCCAGGTGCCGGTGACCGAGGCGGGGAGCTTTGGGGTAACGCTGGGAATAGGAGAGACTGTGCATGGGAGTGGTGTGTGCAAGGGGGTAGTATTGGAGGTCCAGTGAATCACCATAGTCGAAGAGTTCCTGGGAAATTCGGACTTAATTCTGGGAGTTCAGTGGTTGGAGAAGCTAGGCACCACCATGACCAATTGGAAGACTCAGACGCTCAAATTTCAGGTGGGGGGGGGATTCGGTGATCCCCACCTAGGCAGGACTTGTATCTCCTTGAAGGTCATGTTCAAGTCTCTGTAGAAGGAAGGACAGGGGTTCTTACTCGAGTGCAACAACATGGAACGGATAGTGGAGGAACCACCTACTGTACCTGCCTTTTTTCAGCCTTTAATTGAGGAATTTCAGCAAGTGTTTCACATGCCCGAGGGCTTACCACCAAGGGGCGGCAGATAGAGTACTCCATCACTCTAAAGCATGGTGCAAACCCCATCAGTGTACGCCCTTATCGCTATCCACAATCTTAGAAAGATGAGATTGAGAAGCTAGTGACAAATATGCTACGGGCAGGTATCATTCAGACTTCCACTAGTGCCTATTCTAGCCCTGTTTTGTTGGTTAAAAAGAAAGATGGTAGTTAGCGTTTTTGTGTAGATTACAGAGCTCTAAATAAAGATACAATACCTGATAAGTTCCCCATTCCCAAGATTGATGAATTATTGGATGAATTGTGCGGGTCTACTATCTTCACAAAACTCGATTTAAAATCTGGATATCACCAGATTAGGGTCCGAAAAGAGGATGTGCATAAGACAGCATTTAGGACTCACGAAGGTCATTATGAATTCCTTATCATGCCCTTCGGTCTCACAAATGCCCCTACAACTTTTCAGTCTCTAATGAACGAAGTGTTCCGTCCCTTCTTACGCAAGTTTGTCTTGGTTTTCTTTGACGACACCTTGGTGTACAGTCTATGTGAAGAGTCTCACCAAGGTCACCTCAGGCAAGTCTTAGAAACATTGGCTGCTCATCAATTGTATGCTAATTTTAAAAAGTGTGAAGTGGGAAAAACTCGGGTGGCCTATTTGGGGCATGTGATTTCGGCAGCAGGGATGGAGGTGGATGCCTCCAAGGTGCAGGCTATGGTGGATTGGCCTGTTCCAACCTCCATCAAAGAACTGAGAGGCTTTCTTGGTCTTACAGGGTACTACAGAAAGTTTACTCAGGGGTATGCGCTCATTGCTTAACTGATCAATTGCGCAAGGATTGCTTAGGGTGGTCTGATGAGGCCACCTCTGCTTTCGAGGCACTCAAGGCAACCATGGTTAGAGCCCCTATTCTAGCAGCCCCTAATTTCACATTACCCTTCATAGTGGAAATCGATGCCTCGGGGCATGGGTTGGGAGCTATCCTTTTATAAAACAACCACCCAATTGCATATTTCAGCAAGATCTTGGGTTTGAGAGCTCGTTCAAAGCCTATATATGAGAAAGAACGCATGGCTATTGTCTTGGCTATTGAGAAGTGGCGGTACTACTTGTTAGGGAGGCAATTTGTGGTTCGTACTGACCAACATAGCCTCAAGTACTTGTTGGAGCAAAAGGAGGTGGGACAAGCTTACCAAAAATGGGTGAGCAAACTCTTGGAGTATTCTTTTGACATTCGCTATAAACCGGGGCCCACTAATAGAGTAGCAGATGCTCTATCTAGGCAGCATGGTGTTCAAGTTGAGTGTGCTCCATTGGTGGCTTCTTGTGGGGTCCAAATGGCAGTTTATTCTCTCTTTCATAAAGAAGGACCACACCTTATAGCAGCTAATTTCTCAAATCTAAGCTGGTGAACAGGTTCCTAAAGGGTTCACCCTAGAAAATGGTGTTTTGAGGTCCAGGAATAGAGTGGTCATTCCCAAGCATGGTGATCCCACCACCAAGTTGCTTAAGGAATATCATGATTCTCCAGTTGGGGCCCATGCCGGGGACTTCAAAACATACCAAAGGCTTGCTAGTGAGTGGTATTGGGTAGGGATGCGCAAGGATGTGACAAAATATGTTCAAAGTTGTCACATATGCCAACAGAACAAAGGTTTCTTCAACCCCTTCCTATCCCCGAAAAGGTTTGGGAAGATATCTCCATGGACTTTGTGGAGGGCCTTCCTAAGTCATTTGGATGGGACACTATTCTGAGGGTTGTGGATAGGTGAAAGAAGTTGTGAGGTTGCATGGGGTACCTTCTTCTATAGTGTCGGATCGGGACAAAAATTTTCTAAGTCTTTTTTGGAAGGAACTGTTCAGGTTGCAGGGCACTAGTCTTCGTAGAAGTACAGCTTACCATCCTCGGATGGGCAAACTGAGGTGGTCAACAAGGGGGTAGAGTCCTATTTGTGTTGTTTTGTGAATGGGAAACCTTCTAGTTGGGCAAGCTGGTTGCATTGGGAAGAATATTGGTACAACACCGCTTTTCACACCGCAACTCATTGCACTCCCTTCAGAGACTCTCCTCACTTGGCCGGGATACTGCTATCTCATCCTTAGAGGATCAGCTGCAAGAGAGGGATGCAATTCTGGATGATTTGAAGTATCACTTGGTGCAAGCTCAGGTTTACATGCGCCAATATGAGAACAAGTCTAGAAGGGAGGTGAATTTGAGGTTGGGGACTTGGTCTATCTCAAGTTACAGCCCTACAGACAGCACTCTGTGGTCAGAAGGCAATCTGAGAAGCTATCTCCTCGATTTTATGGCCCTTATCAAGTATTGGAGCGTGTGGGGAAGGTGGCATACAGGCTGCAGCTCCCTGCTTCTGCCAAAATACACCCTGTTTTCCACATTTCACAGCTAAAAAAAGCCATGGGACCTGGACAGCTGCCTACCCCTCTGCCTGCCAGCTCTCTGCTGACTTAGTGTTGGAGGTGGAGCCTGATTCTGTGCTGGGAGCGAGGAGTTCTCAGGCTGCCACTGAAGTTCTGATTAAGTGGAAAGGGTTACAAGACTTTAAGGCTACCTGGGAAGACCATGATGAAATAGCTGCTCGTTTTCCTCATTTCCACCTTGAGGACAAGGTGCTTTTTTGGGTGGGAGGTATTGCAAGAGATCAGCCCAGTCCGAAGGTGCGAATCACTTATGCAAGGAGGAAGCCCAAACAAGGTTTGGATAAGAGAGAGTGAGCTGGAATGTTGAGCTGGGAATTAGTTACAGGAAGGGGTAAATCAGTAATTAAGGGAATAAGTTTGTTAGTCCTTGTTTTGTGTGATGAATTTGTTATTTCTGCTTGGTAGTTATTTTTGGGTATTTAAGGAAGGTTTGTGTAGAGGGAATGTATCTAGAACATTTTTGTGGAATTCATTCCTTGGGAGAGCATCCTTTCCTCTCAAAAGAAAGGAGTTGTGTTGAGGTTTCACTGACTTGCAATACAATCTATCTTTGGCCTGCTATTTTCCCTCTGTTTCTCTTAGCTTGCTCTATTTTCTGACCCAGTCTCTAGCAGTGTTATAATGAAAACCTATGAACTTCATAGACAGGTCATGTGGCATTAAACCAAAACAAATGCAGAAACAGTACTTCCAACAGATCCAAAAAACAAGCACAACACATGCAGTAAAAGGTATTTGGTACAATATCTAGAGACCTAATGCAATTGACCTTTAGCCCAAATACATATGTCTTTAAACTATGAGATTAGGATGATTTGACTGGGATACGAAAACCATATAGAATAAGGTTAGCATTAATGTACCATGTCTTTAAGTCTCCAACGAAGACCACAGTGGATAAAGCCATGCACCTCTGACCCGCAGCACCAAATCCAGCAGCAATAAGTGCATTTGTGGTTGCATCAATATTTGCATCAGGCAAGACAATGGCATGATTCTTGGCACCCATGTTAGACTGGTCAATACAGAAGCAGAAGTCAGTTAGCTATTAAAAAAACAATTAGGCAGATAATTAGATTCCTGCATGGATCAAGTGATTTGTATATACCTGAACGCGCTTTCCTTTAGCTGATGCTCTTCCATAAATATGCATGCCAGCCTTCAGAGAAAAACAAGCCATCAAAATTTTATAAGATTAAAAGAACCAAAAAAAATAATTATTATTAGAACCAAAATTTTAAAAAGTAAAAAATATACTTACATTATTAGAACCAACAAATGATATGGCTCGAATATCGTCATCATCACATACAGAATTGACAATGTCCTGTATCAAAGCACAATAAGTTACATTAACAATGGTGGGAGCAAAGTGTGAAGCACATCAATTAGCAACACTGGAAAGGAAAGTGTCCCTATCCCACTGCCTTCTCTCCACCCCAGAAAAAAGAAATTAAAAAAAGGAAACAAATAAATATAGATGCAGAGAAATATATTTCACGGAAGCTTCATGAAAACAACCAAATAGATAGAAAACCTGCTTCCATAGCCAACTCGGCTAGCATAAACAACTAAATATATTTCATGGAAGTAAAATAAAAAAGACATACATGAGTTCCATGAACAATATTTAAGACACCATCAGGTAAACCTGCTTCCATAGCCAACTCGGCTAGCATAACAGAAGCCCCTATAAAGAAAAATAAAACCAGGAGTTAAGCGGGTCCTCATGCACTAAAAGCATGAAACATCTATACAAGAGAGTCAAAAGAATTAACATAGATGTGTAGGAAGGAAACTGAATCACAATAGAATTCATAAAGCATCCCAGGGGCGCACATGAAAATTCAAGTTTGGTACATTTCTGAAACAGAAACGGGAAAGTAGATACAAAGAATGCTTCAACTGATGTTCGGAAAATTCATCAAATTTTGTAAAATGTTCACACAAGTTGACAAAAATAAACAACTTCTTTAAATTTATTCCAATGCACTTATTGTAAAAAGAAGACATTTAAAGATATACAGCATTATGACAGAAGTGACTAAAATTTGAAGTATTGCACCACATAATACAAATAATAACAAGGAAAATAATTCAGAATTCTACATGAATGGTAGAAAAAACAGAACTATCACCTGGGTCTTTTTCTGATGGTTTTAAAATGAAGGTATTGCCAGAAGTGATGGCCACTGGAAGCATCTGAGAAAAGTATCACATTATTAGCATGTTGAAAAACAATGTTTCTCTCCTTGACAGACACAAAACAATGTTTCTCTCCTTGACAGACTCATATGGACTTATGAGGCAGCTAACTACAAAAACACATCTTAGAAAGATTGTGGAAAACTCAATTTCTCTAGACAAGAAACTTCAAAAAATGGAAATAATGAACTAAATTAATATGTAAAAGTATTACAAGGAAGTTGTATGTCAACCCATTTCCTGGAATTTGCTATTATGTTACTGAACCTATAGATATAAGTCATTTAACTACAATGATCATACAAGGATTTCCACGGCATTCTATTCATGAAGGCTGGATCACTTCCCAACCCAAAAGGCCCAAACAAAAACCAATATGTTACCCCTTTGTGCTACAACTTGCAGCATATTGAAAACCAATTTTTAAAAAAATTTACTTTTTATTATGCAGCTCTAGTAAACAAAGAGCAGCAGATTACATACATAATGATCAATTACTAAAAGGACGCACTCGGAGGTTCTTCAATATGAAGAATTGAAGATTGAACAACCATTTCATCAAAATACAAGTATATTTCAAAACATTTTAATTTTTTTTATTTTTCTTTTAATTTTTTTATTTTATTTTTATTTTTTTTAAAAAAAGGGCATATAGTAAGCTTCCCTCAACATTGTTATTCTAGAAAAAATAAATTTACTTTCTATAGATTGCCAAAATGTCTCTGGTTAACAATCAAATAAAAATGTATATTGTACATAGGCTATATGTCAAAAGGAGGATTATATGAAATAAGAGCTCTACTTCCTACAGTAAACAAAATCCATCTATAAATAGTTTTATGTAACAAAATTGGATACTAAATTATTTCTTACCCATAAAGGGACCATTGCAGGAAAGTTAAAGGGACATATGCCAGCACAAACACCAAGAGGTTCTCTAATGCTGTAAGTATCAATACCATGTGAAACATTGGAAACATATTCTCCCATTTGAAGAGTCCCCATGCCGCATACATGTTCCACCACCTCTAAAGAAAGTTTTTGAGATTCAAATATTAAAATACTAAGTAGTGGCTTATACCAGGCGATAAACAAGTCGAAATCAAATTACCAACCTAATCCACGAAAAACATCGCCTTGGGCATCTTTAAGTGTTTTTCCTTGTTCAGTGGTAATATTCAAGGCGAGCTTATCCTGAAATATGAGTACAACAGTTTAGAAGAGGAACTCGATAAAAAAAAAAAATTATATAATGATAAGATAAAGGGGAAAGAATAATCCTTGATATTCACCATATCTCTCCTGATAAGTTCTTGTAACTTGAACATTATGCGCTGACGAGTTGTAACAGGTGTGTTTCTCCATGACGGAAAAGCATGTTTCGCTGCAGATACTGCAGCTTTGAACTCCTCTTTTGTTGTCAATGGAACTTGAGAGACAACTTCTTGAGTTGCCTGACCACAGAAGGGGGGGGTGATAGAATATGAGGTATAATAAGTTTCTAAACTGGCTAAACAGCACCAAGAAAACAAAAGGAAAGCACAAGAATAACACATTTTTTTAAAAAAAAAGCAACAAGAGAAACAAAGAAAGAAGTTAAGAGATTACCGGATTTAGAACATCAATTGATTCAGCTGCTTGGGACTCAACAAACTTGCCTCCAATCAGTAAAGGAGTCCTCTAACACAGATATTATGATACAAAATGGTAAGTCAGCAACGCACGATTTGTGATCTACAAGAGTAATTCTGAGCAGAAAATAAACATTACTCCTTAGCGGCTTAGCACCCCCCAACCCCCTGTGTCCCCTACCCTCAAACACAGTATGTGTTGTCATTTAATTGTCATTCTTCTATTAATACAATTTTGATCAAAACTATGGAGGGATGACTTTTTCCTCGAAAAATCAACACACATGATGGAAATTGAGAATTATAGAGTTCCCATCCTACTGCTATATATAGGAACAATCCCATAGACTTATAAGAAAGTCAAATTATAATCATCTTCTTTACAATAAGTTTACTTATCAATAAAAGTAAACAAGTCTACTGCTTCATTCAAGTTCAACCAAGAAATTACAGTACCAAGTTTTACAATTTGTAAAATATTGTGCAAGATCAATATCTTCATCAACTTGTTTTGCAATATTTCTCACATTGTGTATGAGATTACAATTTTAACACTTACGTACTTCATCCTTTAATATTGCAACGTTCTGACTTTTACACTTTTCATATACAAGTATTAATTTTGACCATAAATTAATTCATTGTCATAATTTATGAGTATACAAAAACATTTGTTATTTCATAAATTGTTTTTGCATTAGTCCTAACATATATTTTCAAGACATTAACTCTGGAGAATCAATTTTTACCGATTGATAAGTAAAAATATTCGTGATCAAAGTTGTACATTGATAAATAAGCATGAAAGTCACAACATTGCAATACTTAAAGAACTGAGGAAATATGTTCTTTTAAGAAACGTCGTAAATAGATTTTACAGTATACACACTTATGATCTTCCCCTCGACTAAACCTCACTAAAACGATTCCAGCTTCAATAAATAAGAATCTTCAAGCAATGAAACAGTGACTTAACTAATTTCCTCCAAAATTTCAATTTAAAAAATTAAAAAAAAAAATTTAAAAAAAAAAGAATTAAATTAAATATAAAAAAAAAACATAGAAATTACCGAAGGTTTGGGATGCTGACTAGATGCTTTAGTTGCAGTCGAATACTTGAGAGCAAACAATTGAGGTCGCAACAATTTCATGTTTTTCGCTAACATTTTTGAGGAAAATAAAAATTGAATTAAATCATCAACAAATTGATTTACACGATAATAATCCAAACTAAATATGAAATTAGACTAAAAACTTGAACAAAATCAATCGAACAAAATAAAAGAATTAAAATTAAAGGGATAAAATGCTTAAAATTACCTCGTTGAAGTGAGAATTGAAGCATCTTGACTGATTTTTGAGGAGAGAGAATTGAAGAACGACGAAACGAAGTTAGTGTCTGAATTTCTTAAATAAATATTTTTATTTTTTTTTGGTTGTTGAAATGAAATTATGAAATTAGTAAAGAGACCAGTGATCAAAGCAATTTTGGAAGAAAATCGTGCGGTTATGAAGCGTTGACAGGAAATCAGATGGTTCAGATTCAAAGTTTTTGTTTAATTTAGTTTTGGGTGAAAATATAAAATTCTAATTGATGAGGTTGATGACGATGAATCCACCTAGACTTTTGAGGGAAATAGAAATCAAGAAAAATGGGATATGTGATGTAGTTATCATTTGGTAGATTTAATGAAATATTCGATTTTATTTCCTCTTTTGGTTGAATTGATGTTGACAAGGAGAAGATTGAACATTTAGGATCTGTTCTGATTTATTGAACTGATTGGAGCTGAGGTGAAATGATTGGAGCTAAATAGAGTTGAAATGAATTGTTTATTAGAAAAAGAAATTAAGAGCTAAATTGAACTGAAATAAAGTGATTGGAGCTGAAATGAACTAAACTGAACTAAAATAAAGCTGAAGAGAACAGATCCTTAATTAGACTAAAATCAATGTATGTTATGCGCTAAATCTAAATAATTGCAACACATAAATTCTCATACTCCTTCGTCTGAGTGTACCAAGTAGTGTTAAATGGTCAAAATTTTAAAAAATTACAAAAAAAAATATCATTAATTATACAATAAACATGATTATTTATTTTTATTTTTTTTTTAGAATTCTTTTTCATTGCAATTCCTCCTTGCCTAGGATCGATGTAAGAAATCCAATCATAAGCTATAACTACTCCAAAAAGTTCATGAAATTTTGTAAGGGTAATGTTATTCATAGCTCTTAGGGTTACATATAAGCATCAAATATACTTTTGAAAAATGTATAAAATTATTTATAACACCCTAGAAATTCCTTTTCTTTAAAATACCTGTTTTGCCTTTTTAAAATACAAAATAGGAAAAACTAAGACATTACCGCCACCGTAAAAACGATTAAGGCAATTATCAAAGACACACAGCGGAAGATTAACTTTAAAACCATTCAAATTAACAAGTCAACTTAAAGTCAAACCAAACGTAAGTAAAATCAAACCAAAATTAAACAAAGTCAGCCTACAACTTGGAACCACTGTAGGCCCTTAAAACCAAACAATACTGAAAACCTTTACGTTAGTCTCATGAGCATAGTAAAATAGATAATATTCAAAGCAATTAAAACACATCATATTCCTATAAAAACTAAACATGATTCGCTCTTTACTCATACCCATCATGAAAATGTTTCACCACCTGAAAAGCTTCTCTCTACTCGTCCCCACTACTCACCATTAGAAATGGGTCGTCGTAGAGTCAAGGTAAAAATAAGGCCAAACAAACATACAAACACACAATTAGCAATGCTGAGTACATAAGTGTAATAAGACACACTAACATGCTTCTATCCTATCATCACACAACCTACCTTGCTACACTTGTAAACAAGCATACAAGACATTCAACACCTAACTAGACAAATACCAACATCCATTTAATTTGATTATGCATCGAACGGGTTTCCAACCAAATCCCTGCCCCAAATAAATTGAGGTAAACTGCACCGGGAGCTAATTGGGTAGGCAAATGCCACATGAAGTGACTGGCGTCCTGCGCGTAAAATAAATAAAAAGGAAAATGCAGCGTCCTGTACTCCTAGTAGAAGTTATGGTCAAATATAAAGTCGCATAACTCCCCTCATATGTTCATACTCAAGGTATATACGTTCCCATAGTTGTGGTGCGTAATCTCTTTCACTTTACGTTGTTTACATATTTTTAGACTTGGTGATGACTCTTAAATCGTAACACAATCAATCACAATAAATCATTCAAGCAATCAAACATACCCATTTAACTCTTGAATAATTAGTGACCATATAATTTAAATGTTGAATCCTTTTTAAACCACCTCGGTGTCAAAGACACCTTAAACGCATAATGCGCCGCAAATCCTATCCCTCAGTGTTAGAAACACCTTAAGTGCACATAGGCACTGCAACAATAATTTATTCAAGTGTACTATGACACTTGATAACTTAATTCCCATGCTTAAAGCATCAATAAAAAATATATAAACTACAATAAAATTCCTTTTTTATATTCCAAACCAAATTAAACATTTAGTTTAATTAAACATGCTCTCAATCATGACAATAATAAAAGTGTAACTCATATTTGTAATACCCCGTATTTTTTAAACGTATTTCTAATTAGTTAGTATTATCTTAAAAAGGGTATTTTAGTAATTTATTTTACTATTTGGATTTTGGAGCCAAAATGATAATTGAATTTTGGCGCCAAAAGTATTTTAAAAATCAATTATTATTTTTGGATTTTGGATAAGATTTATTATCCATTTATTTTATTTTAAAAATCAGATTATTCGGATATTCTAATTAAATAAAATTGTATTTTCTTATTTAACTTAAAAGGGCCGAATTTCCCTAATTAATTAGCTAAGATATTCGGATTTGGTTTATTGATAAGGCCTTGGACTTTGAATGACCGGGTCTTTTATCAAGAATAGCCTTGTAATATAAGGAGACTAGCTTGGGGGTGTGCACACTTGGGTGAGGAATTGGATTAAAAGAAATTGGTTCTTAATAATGGAATTGTTTTTATTAACTATTATTTTGAATATTGAATAATTGGAATCGGTTTTGGAATAATGAGTTTGGAATTTATTGGAATTGATTTTAAAAAATGTTTGCAAATAAATTGAGTTTACATTATCTTGCACTTATCGTACTTAGCATATTTTGCTAATCCGTATTTCTTATTTGTTTTGGTTCGCCCTATTTATCGTAATGGTAAGCAGTGTTGACTATTTTCAGGTGGAGTCATGAATGAGCATATGGGAGTCCAGGGATTTGCTTCATCTAGTTTAGGAATGTTGGTCTCGTCTTTATTTGAATACTCGTAACAATGTTACTATTTTTATAAGTATTAATAAAAGAGTATTGAAGTTTCCGCTGCAAGTTTTGTTATTGAGTTAAGTATTTTGACCTTGCGTAATCACGCGGCGGTAACACTCCTAAGTCCATATCTACGGTATAATTATACGTATTATAATGGTATTTTCGTAAAGGGAGATTTGGGGGTGTTACAATTCACCATCACTGTCTTCAACATCTGAGTTAGGGATTAAATCTTCATCTTCATCCTCATACTCACTTTTCCATCCATCTGATAATGGTATACTTAACAACTCTTTTGCCCTGGAACTCCCAGTCTCTTGAGTGTTACTTGGAATTTTCTTTCTTTTTTCAAATTGATAGCTGACTGCACATGTTCTTCATCACTAGAACTGCTCTGCTCCTGTTGGTAATCATCATCACAGCTGTCATCACTGTCCTCTAGAGATTCAGCTGGACTTAGGTCAATTTCACCCTCACTAACAACCCAATCACAATCCTTATACTCAACATCACCACCATCCTCATCATTAATTGCAAAATCATGATCACTCTTAGAGTTATAACCCTCAAGTGTCATACCAATCGTCTACATGTATGTACTCACATGACTGACCTGTAGCTCTCAAATCATCTAAATTATCTCCAACTCCATCTTTTTCCAACTCATCTGCATACTCTCCAACTCCACCAAAATCAGGAACACTGTCACCAACATCATTAGGTGTACTTAGATGTTCAAGTCTAGACCTAATCTTGTCAAGCCTTTTCTGGTATAGGTTACTTGATTTGTTGTTCAATGTTGTTTTCTTACTCCTATTTGGTGGGTTGGCAGACTGTGAGAAAGGTTTGGGCAGAATTGGAGTTTTTTTTGTTTCTGGGGCTGGTCCTAATTAGTGCTCTTGGTGGTGGTTTTTTCCTAGATGAAGTGTTAGCAAACTATGAGGAAGGGTTTGGGACTACTGAGATTTTTTGTTTTCTAAGGCTAGTCCTAATTGGTTTTCTTGGTGAAATTTTATTCCTTTCATTGGGTTTTGGGATAGGCATTTGTGTATTTGTTTGACTGCTTTCCACAATTGGCACACTTGGTTTTTTTGACTAGGGCCATTAATAGGGTCGTAAAAGTACATTATTTTATTTATGATTTTATATTGACTTTTAATGATTTAAATGTTTATTAAGCAACTTTTCTTCCCGAGACACGAGTTACTACTATTTGATTTATTTGTAAATAAATTGAGTTTACATTATCTTGCACTTATCGTACTTAGCATATTTTGCTAATCCGCATTTCTTATTTGTTTTGGTTCGCCCTGTTTACCGTAATGGTAAGCAATGTTGACTATTTTCAGGTGGAGTCATGAATGAGCATATGGGAGTCCAGAGATTTGTTTCATCTAGTTTAGGAATGTTGGTCTCGTCTTTATTTGAGTACTCATAACAATGTTACTATTTTTATAAGTATTTATTAAAGAGTATTGAAGTTTCCGCTGCAAAGTATTGGTTTATTTAGTAAGTTTGGTAGCCTTGCGTAATCACGCGGCGGTAACACGCTCAAGTCTATCTCTACGGTATAATTATACGTATTATACTGGTATTTCCGTAGAGGGAGATTTGGGGGTGTTACAATATTCAACATGCCAATATAATTAATTCCAATCATCATATCACAATAATTAATTCATACTTCGCAATTAAATCACCAACATTAATCCAATCAACAATTGCAACCAATACCTATCATGATACTACCTTGTAATTAATTAAACAAAGCCTAACATACTTCTATATACTTAAATAATTACTAAGGGCCTGTTCACATTTACTGAACTAAGCTGAACTGAACTGATTGGAGCTAAACTGAACTGAACTGAATTGAGCTGAAATGAATATTTTATTAGAGAGGAAAATTAAGAGCTGAACTGAACTGAACTGAAATTAAGTAAATGTGAACAGACCCTAAGTACGCGAGCGTATCTTGAATATGATCTCAAAATCGCCACGACTAAATAAAATCACTCACTTGGAAATCTCCTATAATCCAAAATTACAAAGAGGCATTATATTAATACCTATTCAGTATAAATTTCCAGCAATATATACACTCTTTAAATCACTCATAAACCCTCTAAAATAAGTTGAAATTTAATTTAAAACCCTTACTTTTATTCCCAATTAATGGGTAGTCAAAAATCCTTTCAAGAAACTTAATTGTTGCTTATATACAAAAATTCCAGCTTTATTAAAACATTTTAATTGTT